TAGGCAATCCCCAGACTGGAGCAAGGAAGGAGGGGATACAGCAGGGGACGCAGGCGCGGCACCGACCCCACCACCGGGCACAGGAGCCGAGGCCCTCTGGCGCACATCTTTCCGCAACATCACGACGAGGTCCCGATCAGCAGGGACAACCCCCCACTGCGGAGATCCAACAGCAGGTGACGCAGGAGGAGAGGCACAGGTAGCAACGTCGGAGCCCCTCACAGCACCACCATTCTCGGCGGGGGGCGCCAGATTACCATACTCCCCCACCTCCTCCCAAGGCACACCACGAAGGGGAGACACACTCCGAGCCCGCCGTGAACGCTTCGAGACAGGCCTCACCACACCACGCCCAGCAGGCCCCGCCGCAGGCACGGCCACCATCTTTACATCCACACAGGCCACACCCGCACCGTCCGAAGAGTCCACAGAGGCCACATCACCCACACTGTCCACATCATCCAGGGAAACAGCCTCAGAACACCGACGCGCGCGCTTCTGCAAAGGGACGGAAAGAGCAGAACTACACTCACCAACACACACAGGCACGGCAGGCACCTCCCCCTGCCGAAGCACCCCCTCTAAAACAGCAGAACCCGCGTCCCCGGGAGCCGGTACCACATCCACAGGCGGGGGCGGGACATGGACCTCCACCGAGACACCCTTCACTACACGCAGCTCAGGCGACGGCTCGACACCCACACACACCGGCTCAACAACCCCAGGGGCCATAGCAGTCACCTGACGTGTCGCCGTAGAACTCGCCCCAACAGGCGGAGCAGCAGACAGGCAATCAGGCGCCTCAGGCACAGCACCTACTCCATCCTCAGAACCGTCCGAACGTAACAAGGGCGGGAAATCCTCTGCACGAAAAACATGCACCCTACCAGTTGCACCCACGTCGCACGCCGCAGCCAGGTGACCCTCGTGACCACACCGATAACAGGTGCGCGGTTGACCCCGGTACAAGCAGCGGAGCGTGTAACCCAACACGGACATCGACGACGGTACACTACACTTCAGCGACATCGTCAGGGTGCGGGAGCCGTCAAGCATACCAACACAGTGCCCGGCAACGACCTTGTTCCAACGAACACTTAACACGGTCCCAAATCGCTCAAAACAGGAGGTTAAAAAGTCGTCCTGAAATTCGAAGGGGGCACCATGCACCGCCACAGACGTCAAGGTGACACTAAGATTCACCACCTTAACTGAGCCAGCTGAAGCAGGGAGTGGGTAAACACGCCCCTCACAACGCTCGAGAAACACCTGAAAGGCAGCCTGGAGGCGGAACTTTACCACAGCACGGTTGCCCTGAAGCAGCTGGACGCCCACCAGGTCCGACAGCTGCACATGAAGCACGTCCACCAGGGCGACACCAACCAATGGATGGTCCACCGGCACCGTAAACGCTAGACCAGCCGACAATGTCCTCTGCACTGGAGGGCGAGATGACCCCATGGCGAAGGCAAACGTCACCCTGTCAGTGGCAAACCACCACCAGCAGGGCAAACAAGCAATCACCCAACGTAAACACTAGCCAGTGCGGAGAGACCTCAGGAGCGTCCGACCTGGCCGGTGGTCACCACGCAACTCCGACCTGGACACGATCCAGGTGTGAAGTATTCTTGGTGGTTGACGCGGTGGTCTTAATGACTCCCTCGTGGTGTGTAGGTCACAAGCCCAACCAACCATGGTACTCTGAGAGAGAACTATCAACATCAGAGGCCCGAGACTGTTCAACACGCTTCCGCTACACATAAGGGACATAACTGGCCAACCCCTCACAGTGTTCAAGAGAGAACTGGATAAGCACCTCCAAAGGATACCTGATCAACCAGGCTGTGACTCGTACGTCAGGCTGCGAGCAGCCGCGTCCAACAGCCTGGTTGATCAGTCCGGCAACCAGGAGGCCTGGTCGACGACCGGGCCGCGGGGACGCTAAGCCCCGGAAGCACCTCAAGGTAACCTCAAGGTAAGGTAACCAAATGTCACAGTTACACATGTGATTATAATGTCACGTAACGTGTGTAATTCACTTTCAATCACGTTACTGGTGAATGGTTGCATATTTATACACTGACTTTGTGTAGAGAACCTGAGAACATGATTCATTTACGTTACATAATAAGTCAACACTAGGCGTGATAATGGCGTGTTCCCAGGGTGGTGGAGGAGGCACACGCCGCCCTGGCTCCCACTACTGTTGTACCGTAGTGTACAGTGACGGCCAGGGAGCTGGGGGTACACCAGCCTTTACTGTAGCCTCACCTCACACTGTAGCCTCACCTCACACTGTAGCCTCACCTCACACTGTAGCCTCACCTGACACTGTAGCCTCACCTCACACTGTAGCCTCACCTTACACCACCCTCGCAGTATGAGCAAGTGTGTGTGTGTGTACTTACCTACATGTGCTGGCTGGGTCTACCTACCTACCTTGAGGCTACCTTGAGGTGCTTCCGGGGCTTAGTGTCCCCGCGGCCCGGTCGTCGACCAGGCCTCCTGGTTGCTGGACTGATCAACCAGGCTGTTAGACGCGGCTGCTCGCAGCCTGACGTATGAGTCACAACCTGGTTGATCAGGTATCCTTTGGAGGTGCTTATCCAGTTCTCTCTTGAACACTGAGGGGTTTGCCAGTTATGTCCCTTATGTGTAGTGGAAGCGTGTTGAACAGTCTCGGGCCTCTGATGTTGATAGAGTTCTCTCTCAGAGAAGTCGAGCTAGGGTCGAGCTAGGCTCCTGGCCCCGCCTTCCCAATGTTCTTAGATTTATGCAATGAATCATTTCTCACGCTTCTGTCGTATTTACATTTACAATTTTAAATCGAATTAGCTTCAGCGACATCTGCATCTAACCTGTTCCATTTATTGAGCTCTAGCTCTTTGGTCCCGCCTCTCAACTGTCAATCAACCAAACAATGTACACCAAACAATGTACACAAACTGTATGTGTACACACCATCCAGGTAACTAATATTTAAACAGTCATGAAGAGAGAGAGACCACTGTACGTACACCAGTGGTCCAGGCTCGTCGACACCCTCCCACCAAACGTAAGAAATATGCCAGTACACAAGTGGAAATGTTCAAGGGGAAATTAGACACGTTCTTGCAAGACGTGCCGGATCAACTGAGCTGTAGTGGATATGCGGGCCAGCGGGCCGCACCAAGCAACAACCTGTTGGACTTGAGGAGTGGAAGAACTCTCAGAACCTCATGCAGGTACAATCCAGGTACCAAGTTCCCACAAGTCAAGCCGGGAACCAGGCCGTGTTGGGGACAAGAATAACTGCCAGAACCCTCTCCAGGTGTACTGGAAAGTCAGGTCCAGGTGTGAATAATAACTGACAACCTCCTGGAGTGAGAGATGTGCCAGGAATTGGACCACATTAGACGGTCCATGAGCACTGTGAACACCAGAGGGCCTCCACACCTCATCCTGGTGAACTGAGGTGATGAGCGCCTCATCACGCCAGGTGATGTGGCGAGGTGGAGGGCCTCCACACCTCATCCTCATACCAACAGGTATAAGGCAAGTTATTCTTGGAATAAATGTTGGCGATGCCTTCAGGAAGGAGTTACTCTGGGGGAATATTGGGGATATGGAGGGCTGATGAGTTGCTACCTGAATAGCTTCATTAACCTGTTCACTACAAGGTAAGTCCCTGCCAGAGTAGATGCACTTGAGGAAACGAGGTGAGGGGAGTCATGTGAGAAGAGGGGAAATGAAACGAGGGAAGGAAGGAAGGAAGGGAAACAATTGGAGAGAGGGGAGAGACTTGGGATTAGAGAATGAGAAGTAAAAGGGAAGAAAGGGAGAGACGAGAGGGGACGTACAAGATAATAAGTCAGCTCTTGTCTACGTTAATTAAGACAAGGGTCCAGCAGGACAACTCTCATGTTCCTACAAGTGCACTACAAGCTCACAACTCCTACATCACCTCATATTGAAGCCTCACCCTTCAAACTCATCTATTAATGAGAAATTTTTCTACTGATGTAAACTTTATTTTCTGTAACGCCCCATGTGTCAAGAGTGAGAGGTGCAGGTGGGGCCCCCTGGCGGCCACACACCGCACCACACATCTCTCCAATATCTCTCCAGGACAAATATCTCTACAAACAAAAATTAATATTGGAGCAGTACAATGGTATCAAACACGCATCCTTGAACTCCTCGGACACACTCACTACCGACTAGACCATGAATGGTGTCAGTATTTTCCCACATTGTTCTACTGACAACGTTCTACTGGTCAAGACTTGTGATTCGTCTTATAGCACGATTCTCTACCTTGTCTAGAAGTTGTATAAGGGACAGGAGGCGGGTCACGGGGCTGATGAGAGCATATTTGAGAGTGGGAGCGAGCCTGTGCACCACCCAAGGTGGTGTAGCCACTACTCTCAAGGTGTGACCTGTGCCTTACTGCTGCTCCTTGACCGTCTTCCTTGCTAAGTTCTGCACGTGGCTCTTCGTGGTCACTAGAACCAAACTTCAGCTTTACGATGTCACTTTCTTCACTTCCATGACACGTAAGAGACGAGGGAGCACAACACTGGGGTATGTTCCCTCATAAACCCTCCCCCCTCCTTCCCCTCTCTTCCAAGTCAGGCACCAGTAACAGACTGGAGACTAATTTCCTGTAAGAACACCAGGTGTCCTGGCACGGGTCGGCTCCAATGTTGTGTAAACCCACTCTCTATATACGCTCAAAATACGTTTAGAAAACTTCCATATTGAAAACATAAAGCAAGTAAACTGGCATATTTTCGGGAGCAACTTATGTAAACTTTTATGTAAACTTTTATGTCAACACGCATCTGAGCCTTGTGGGGATATGGGACGCCTCCTGGAACTGGATAATCACCCGTGGGTGAGAGCACTCTCTCACTCCTTAAGGAGAGACTGGAGGGAATTGGGAGTGTGGTGTGGGAGTGACTGAGACTATGGAGGGTGGGTGAGGACTGGGAGGGGGGGGGGGGCGGGGAGTGACTTACCCTGCGATGGGCATCATCTTGAGGGCCAGAGAGCGGGAGATGCAGAATCCTGCGCCTCCTGTTGCGAACCAGAAGGAGATCCTTTGCTGTAAAGAAGAGAGAGAGAGAGAGAGTGAGTATGTGAGAGAGAGAGAGCGAGCTCCTATACATTCGAGCTTCAATGTTCTTCACTTCTCTTTTGTTATTTCCTCTTGTTCAAGCTGTGTTCTTGTGTTGCCTCAGTCTCACGCTAACTCACGCACTCATCCCTCAGTCTCACGCTAACTCACGCACTCATCCCTCAGTCTCACGCTAACTCACGCACTCATCCCTCAGTCTCACGCTAACTCACGCAGTCATTCATCAACAGGTATTCTTATTCATTATATATCTTTGTGCTTCCTTATAGTCAATTGTGTCATCACCCAACTGTTCGATTATGCAACTGTTCTCCCGTTGACAACGGGACAATATGAATTGTCTTAGTAACAGACACCCTGATACATTCATCCTTGAGCACCGTTAACGCCCACCACTGCCCCTGTTGTTTACCCTTGCAACGGCAGCCACACCAACGGCAGCCACACCAACGGCAGCCACACCAACAGCAGCCACACCAACGGCAGCCACACCAACGGCAGCCACACCAACGGCAGCCACACCAACGGCAGCCACACCAACGGCAGCCACACCAACGGCAGCCACACCAACGGCAGCCACACCAACGGCACCCACACCAACGGCAGCCACACCAACGGCAGCCACACCAACGGCAGCCACACCAACGGCAGCCACACCAACGGCAGCCACACCAACGGCACCCACACCAACGGCAGCCACACCAACGGCAGCCACACCAACGGCAGCCACACCAACGGCACCCACACCAACGGCAGCCACACCAACGGCAGCCACACCAACGGCACCCACACCAACGGCAGGAAGATGACCATATACGCACCGAGACGTTGTCTCTGTTGATGATCTCCAAGGGGGCGCGGATGGAGGGCTTGCCCAGGTACCAGTCCTGCTGGGGGTCGTAGTCGGCCAGCGTCGTCACCAGCTGCGGAATGTTGACGTAGTTGTCGTCGTCGAAGTGGCACCACCACCTGTTTAGAGAGCAGGAGCCACAGTTACAACACGGCACTCCAGACAGGTGTTGGGTGCCTGGGGTTCATGAGAGACGAGGTGCAGTGGGAGGGTTGGAGCCACACCTCCTGACTCAAGGAGCATAAAGGCTCTGAAATGGGTAGTTACTGTGAGTACATATGGTGGCTGTAGGACCAGTGCTGTCAGCCCTGGTGGCTGTAGGACCAGTGCTGTCAGCCCTGGTGGCTGTAGGACCAGTGCTGTCAGCCCTGGTGGCTGTAGGACCAGTGCTGTCAGCCCTGGTGGCTGTAGGACCAGTGCTGTCAGCCCTGGTGGCTGTAGGACCAGTGCTGTCAGCCCTGGTGGCTGTAGGACCAGTGCTGTCAGCCCTGGTGGCTGTAGGACCAGTGCTGTCAGCCCTGGTGGCTGTAGGACCAGTGCTGTCAGCCCTGGTGGCTGTAGGACCAGTGCTGTCAGCCCTGGTGGCTGTAGGACCAGTGCTGTCAGCCCTGGTGGCTGTAGGACCAGTGCTGTCAGCCCTGGTGGCTGTAGGACCAGTGCTGTCAGCCCTGGTGGCTGTAGAACCAGAGCTGTCAGCCCTGGTGGCTGTAGGACCAGAGCTGTCAGCCCTGGTGGCTATAGTACCAGTGCTGTCAGCCCTGGTGGCTGTTGGACCACAGCTGTCAGCCCTGGTGGCTGTAGGACCACAGCTGTCAGCCCTGGTGGCTGTAGGACCAGTGCTGTCAGCCCTGGTGGCTGTAGGACCAGAGCTGTCAGCCCTGGCGGCTGTAGGACCAGAGCTGTCAGCCCTGGTGGCTGTAGGACCAGAGCTGTCAGCTCTGGTGGCTGTAGGACCAGAGCTGTCAGCCCTGGTGGCTGTAGGACCAGTGCTGTCAGCCCTGGTGGCTGTAGGACCAGAGCTGTCAGCCCTGGTGGCTGTAGGACCAGTGCTGTCAGCTCTGGTGGATGTAGGACCAGTGCTGTCAGCCCTGGTGGCTGTAGGACCAGAGCTGTCAGCCCTGGTGGCTGTAGGACCATTGCTGTCAGCCCTGGTGGCTGTAGGACCAGAGCTGTCAGCCCTGGTGGCTGTAGGACCAGTGCTGTCAGCTCTGGTGGATGTAGGACCAGTGCTGTCAGCCCTGGTGGCTGTAGGACCAGAGCTGTCAGCCCTGGTGGCTGTAGGACCAGTGCTGTCAGCTCTGGTGGATGTAGGACCAGTGCTGTCAGCCCTGGTGGCTGTAGGACCAGAGCTGTCAGCCCTGGTGGCTGTAGGACCAGTGCTGTCAGCTCTGGTGGATGTAGGACCAGTGCTGTCAGCCCTGGTGGCTGTAGGACCAGAGCTGTCAGCCCTGGTGGCTGTAGGACCAGTGCTGTCAGCTCTGGTGGATGTAGGACCAGTGCTGTCAGCCCTGGTGGCTGTAGGACCAGAGCTGTCAGCCCTGGTGGCTGTAGGACCAGTGCTGTCAGCCCTGGTGGCTGTAGGACCAGTGCTGTCAGCCCTAGTGGCTGTAGGACCAGTGCTGTCAGCCCTGGTGTCTGTAGGATCAGAGCTGTCAGCCATGGTGGCTGTAGGACCAATGCTGTCAGCCCTGGTGGCTGTAGGACCACAGCTGTCAGCCCTGGTGGTGTAGGACCAGTGCTGTCAGCCCTGGTGGTGTAGGACCAGTGCTGTCAGCCCTGGTGGCTGTAGGACCACAGCTGTCAGCCCTGGTGGTGTAGGACCAGTGCTGTCAGCCCTGGTGGTGTAGGACCAGTGCTGTCAGCCCTGGTGGTGTAGGACCAGTGCTGTCAGCCCTGGTGGCTGTAGGACCAGTGCTGTCAGCCCTGGTGGTGTAGGACCAGTGCTGTCAGCCCTGGTGGTGTAGGACCAGTGCTGTCAGCCCTGGTGGCTGTAGGACCAGACCTGCGTAAAGCACACTGAAAGATATCGGACAAGTGTCCAACACTCTCCCTTTAAATATAAGAATTACCAACAGATATCTAACTGTATTCATGAGGGTACTCGAGGAACACTTCAGAAAGGCCTCAGAGCAGGCGGCCTGCGGTACCCCTCGTCGGGTTGCGAACTGCGAACACCAACAGTTCTGATGACCAGGTTGCGCGAGCCACAAGATAGATAGTATGGAGTAGTGGCTGTTAAAGACGTAACCCATATGCAAATTAGTTTCAAAAGACGATACAAGAACGAGGAGGGTCGGGTTTCAATGCATTAAATTACATATAGGTGTTGAGGCGGGGCTCGGGAGCTAGCGCCGGGCCCTGCACACACCAACAGGTGAGCTCAAACTAATATCTGGCTGACGGAAAACAGTTGTGAAGGGAAGTGACTGAAGCCGCCTCCAGCAGCCCCAGTGTTGACACAGGTGATGGGCGTCCAGCCGTCCTCAGGCTGCTGCACGGACTACACTCCTCCCCCCACCACCAGAGTGACTCTCCATCATGTAGACTCCTCCCACCACCACCAGAGGGACTCTCCATCATGTAGACACACCCCCGATCCTCCCACCTACACACCTGCCAAGGGGGGGGGGGCTCACACCACCAACCCTCCCATCTACACACCTGCCCAGGGGGGGGGGGGTGAAGGGGTCACACCACCGACCCCCCCACCTGCACACCTGCCCGGGGGGGGGGGTGAAGGGGTCACACCACCGACCCCCCCACCTGCACACCTGCCCAGGGGGGGGGGTGAAGGGGTCACACCACCGACCCCCCCACCTGCACACCTGCCCAGGGGGGGGGGTGAAGGGGTCACACCACCGACCCCCCCACCTGCACACCTGCCCAGGGGGGGGGTGAAGGGGTCACACCACCGACCCCCCCACCTGCACACCTGCCCAGGGGGGGGGGGTGAAGGGGTCACACCACCGACCCCCCCCCACCTGCACACCTGCCCAGGGGGTGGTGAAGGGGTCACACCACCGACCCCCCCACCTGCACACCTGCCCAGGGGGGGGGGGGGGTAAAGGGGTCACACCACCGACCCCCCCCCCCCCCCCCCACCTACACACCTGCCCAGGATGCTGACAATTAACCTCAGCCCTTCTCTGTTTAAGTGGACCTGCAGGTTTCCGGGATTCCGGGGCTCCTGGCGCCATTGTTGGCGGGTGTAAGGTGCTACACTAAACGTAATACAGGGTACAAAACACAATCAAATCTGCCCATAGTAGGAAAACAGCATGTAAAGGATTTGGGAATAATGATGTTTGACGACCTAACGTTTAAGGAGCATAACCAAGCAAATATTGCGACAGCCAGAAAAAATGATAAGATGGATTACGAGAACTTTCAAATCCAGGGATCCCATCACAATGGTTGTACTCTTCAAGTCACTTGTGTTGTCCCGTCTTGAGTTCTGCTCAGTACTCACTTCCCCCTTCAGAGCAGCAGAGATTGCTGAAATAGAGGGAATACTGACAACATATACGGCACGCATAGACGAGTTAAAACACCTAAATTATTGGGATTGTCTTAAAGTTCTCCAAATGTACTCACTAGAAAGGAGACGAGAGAGATACCAAATAATATACACATGGAAAACATTGGAGAGCCAAGTCCCAAATCTACACAGTAAAATATCAACATATTGGAATGAACGATATGGAAGAAAATGCAGAATAGAACCAGTGAAGAGCAGAGGTGCCATAGGCACAATCAGAGAACACTGTATAAACATCAGAGGTCCACGGTTGTTCAACACCCTCCCAGCAAGTATAAGAAATATTGCCGGAACAACCGTGGACATCTTCAAGAGAAAACTAGATAGTTTTCTCCAAGGAGTGCCGGACCAACCGGGCTAAGCAACAGCCTGTTGGACCAAACTCTCACAAGAAAAGGTGGGTCGGGCTTGGGGAGTAGAAGTCGTCCCAGAACCCCATCAAGCAGGTATTAAGCAGGTGGTGGGTAGGCTGAGGAGGGCTGGGTTGTGCTACATGGAGGAGGAGGAGGAGGAGCATGATATGGGCACATTCGACACTAACCACAGCACGGAGGCTCCGCCGCCATTGTTCAGACGCTGCCCCAGGCACCTCCCTGGGGGCGTGAGAAGCGGGCACCCGCCACGCCACACCTGCTACTCTCCCACCTGGCCACCACCTCTGTAGGCCTACTGCCTCCTAATGCAGGCGCCAGTGAGCGACCATCCACCACCGTGGCAAGGGGGTGAGAGGCCGCCCCGTGGCGTGGCCAATCCTGAGTCAGGGGTGTGTGGTGAGGCGGGGTGGGCGAGGACGGCTTTCTCTGTGTCGGCCGCCGCCCCAGAACACCTGTACCGCTACTGTCTACCTGCCCCGCGCCACCCCTCCTCTCACGCCATTACCCGCCTCCCCCGGGCCCTCACTAGTACACCACTCTGTGGCTACACCTAGTTGTGACTGCCGGGGTTCACCTCTTATATCGGCCCGCCTCGCAACTGTCAATCAATCAACTGTTGCTAACTACAAACTAACTTTTTTTTCCACATACACACACACATCCCCCCATGAAGCAGCCCGCAACAGCTGTCTAACTCCCAGGTACCTATTTACTGCTAGGTAACAGGGGGCATCAGGGTGACAGAAACATTTTTCCCATTTGTCTCCGCCTGCACCAGGGATCTAACCAGGAACCTCAGGACTACGAATCCGAAGCGCTGTCCACCCAGCTGTCAGGCGCTGGGTGGACAAGAGTGTGAGTGAGTGACTGAGTGTGAGTGAGAGATTGAGTGTAAGTGAATGACTGAGTGTGAGTGATTGTTAGTGTGAGTGAGTGTGTGTGTGAGTGTGAGTGTGTCAGTGTGAGTGAGTGAGTGTGAGTGAGTGAGTGAGTGAGTGAATGAGTGAGTGAGTGAGTGAGTGAGTGAGTGAGAGAGTGAGACAGTGAGTGAGAGTGAGAGTGAGTGTGAGTGAGTGAGTGAGTGTGAGTGAGAGAGTGAGTGTGAGTGAGTGAGAGTGAGTGAGTGAGTGTGAGTGAGTGAGAGAGTGAGTGTGAGTGACAGTGAGTGTGTGAGTGTGAGTGAGTGTGTGTGAATGAGTGAGTGAGTGATTGTGAGTGAGTGAGTGTGTGAATAAGTGAGTGTGTGAATGAGTGTGTGAGTGAGTGAGTGATTGTGAGTGTGTGAATGAGTGTGTGAGTGATTGTGAGTGAGTGAGTGAGAGTGAGTGAGTGAGTGAGTGAGTGAGTGAGTGAGTGAGTGAGTGAGTGAGTGAGTGTGAGTGAGTGAGTGTGAACGACACACCTACCTTCGTGGAGGTAACTTCTATACCCTGATAATCACCACCACCACCTGGTGATAATATTATTCATATCTGCCACGCTTGTGTTGATATCAGTTATATTTACCGGGGTTTGGATATCACGCATAAAGAAATTGCCTGAATCTTCCACTTTCATGCTGCTATTGAAGTACTAAACATGTCCTCATACTGCTTTTTTAGGATTTCACTGATTTCATTATCATCATCAGTATATGAACCTTCACTAGTACGAATGGATCCAATACTGTCAGTAGTTTTTGCTTTTGATTTAGCATATGTGAAGAAATATTTTGGGTTTTTCTATATTTCTTGAATTGCTTTCTGTTCTAGTTGCCTTTCTTCAGTCTGATAGGAATGCTTCAGTCTCTGTTCGATTTCTTCAATCTCCCAGTTTAAATTATTCCTTCTTTGTATGGAGACTCGTGTCTGCCTAAGCATTTCCGTTAATTTTTTCTTTCTTTTGTAGTGTCGTCTACGTTGGACCTCTTTCTGGTTGTCCTTAAAGGAACATGTTTCACACAGACATCATAGGCTTCACAAGTCAGTTTTTCTATGCCTTGTCTAGGAATTAGATTACTTAGAACATTTTCCCATTGAATGTTTGTAAGTTCCCTGTTTATTTTCTCCCAGTCTATCCTCTTATTATTAAAATTGAATTTATTTAATAACCCTTCTCACTTGTTGTTTCTCTTGGGCCTACTACCGTTATTAATGTTAGTTTGCACTTCAGTGAGCTTGTGGTCCGAGTACGTAGTGTCTGAGACAGTAATATCTCTGATTAGCTCATCATTGTTCGTGAATATGAGGTCCAGCGTGTTCTTGTTCCTAGTTGGTTCTGTAATCTGCTGACTGAGCGAGAATTTGTCACAGAATCTCAATAGTTCTCTGACCTGTGGTTGGTTATTTCCAGGTTGATTTCCTGCTATAATGTTACTGTTTACTATTCTCCATTGTAAACTGGGTTGATTGAAGTCTCCAAGGAAGATAATATCTGGTACTGGGTTTGCTAGGTTATCAAGGACATTCTCTATTTTGTGGATCTGTTCAGTGAATTCCTCAACTGTTGCTTCTGGCGGCTTGTATATTAGAATAATAATTAGATTTATATTCTCTACCTTGATGCCAAGTACCTCTATCACCTCATTGGTCGAGTTCAGGAGCTCTGTGCTTGCCAGCTCCTCTTTAATATACAGACCTACTCCTCCACTTGACCTAATTACTCTATCACATCTATATAAATAATAATTTTGGATCCAGATTTCACTAACCATGTGGTCAGGGCCACATGGCCATGTGGGAGGCAGATGAATTTAATTAGTTTTCGAGACATCACTCAAGGTCGCGTCCTCACCCTTGAGGTCGCATCCTCACCCTCGAAGATGTATACAAATTGTTGTATAGTATGTTGCGTAGGGAGGTGGGGGTGAGGGGGAGCACATGTTCCAGTAACACTTGGAACATGTGCTCCCCCCTCCAGTAACGCTCCCCCCTCCAGTAACGCTCCCCCCTCCAGTAACGTTCATGCACCACCAAGGAAATGTTGTGAAAACTTCAAGGCCTTCTCCAGATATCCCAAAAAGAATAAAAAAGTTTAAATGATATCCAAGCCACATACCTGAAAGGGAAGAAACGACGACGTTTCTTCCTTGATAATGCTCCTTCCGTCTTAGACCACCATCAAGACAATAGTGGTCCGTCTTAGACCACCATCAAGACAATAGTGGTCCAGGATAGACAGAAACTTTCTCGCTTCTTCCTTTTCAGATGTGTGTCATGGATGTTTAAGCCCCGTTATTATGACACAACGGGTGCAACAAACTATAAACTAGCTAACTATATAAAATAAGGAAGAAAGATACTAACACAGAAACTAGAAGATATAATTAACACGGAGTCGAAGAGAAAGACACAAAAAAGACCGAATTAGACTTGAGCAGTAGATAAGGAGAGGGACTAGAAGACACAGCGAGGAAGCCAGTAAGAAGGACACAGACCGAGGAAGAGAAGACTGGCAAGTCTTCAGCTTACTCACCTCTTGTTGCTCTGGAGGAAAGCATCGAACTCGCTGGCCATCTTGCAGCAAAGCGCTCGTCTGTTGTGGGAGGCGGAGCAGTTAGTGTTGACGAGGTGGCCGCCTGTGGGAGTGGAGAGGGGGGGATGCGGTTACAGTATACCCTGTACTGGGAGAGAGGCGGACAGATAACACGGTGTACTAATTGTTGTTCTTAGTGGTGGAGGCGCTCGGCCAGCCCCGGTGTGGGGAAGGGACGGCGGCGGTGGAGCAAGGAGTCGTGTACACTAATTAGTGGTGGTGGTGAGCGTGTGTGATGTTCCCCACGCCCGCCCGCTGATGGAAGGCGTGCCCTCACGCCCACGCCCGCCCGCTGATGGAAGGCGTGCCCTCACGCCCACGCCCGCCCGCCCGCTGATGGAAGGCGTGCCCTCACGCCCACGCCCGCCCGTTGATGGAAGGCGTGCCCTCACGCCCACGCCCGCCCGCTGATGGAAGGCGTGCCCTCACGCCCACGCCCGCCCGCCCGCTGATGGAAGGCGTGCCCTCACGCCCACGCCCGCCCGCTGATGGAAGGCGTGCCCTCACGCCCACGCCCGCCCGCTGATGGAAGGCGTGCCCTCACGCCCACGCCCGCCCGCTGATGGAAGGCGTGCCCTCACGCCCACGCCCGCCCGCTGATGGAAGGCGTGCCCTCACGCCCACGCCCGCCCGTTGATGGAAGGCGTGCCCTCACGCCCACGCCCGCCCGCCCGCTGATGGAAGGCGTGCCCTCACGCCCACGCCCGCCCGCTGATGGAAGGCGTGCCCTCACGCCCACGCCCGCCCGTTGATGGAAGGCGTGCCCTCACGCCCACGCCCGCCCGCTGATGGAAGGCGTGCCCTCACGCCCACGCCCGCCCGCCCGCCCGCTGATGGAAGGCGTGCCCTCACGCCTACGCCCGCCCGCTGATGGAAGGCGTGCCCTCACGCCTACGCCCGCCCGTTGATGGAAGGCGTGCCCTCACGCCTACGCCCGCCCGTTGATGGAAGGCGTTCCCGGGCTACTGAAGACAAGGCAGAGTGGCAGTCATGGTGGCGATGAAGTGTTGATAGTGGTGATGGAGGGGTGTTAATAGTGGTGGTTGATGGAGGGGTGGTGGTGGTGGTGGTGGTGGTGGTGGTGGTACTTGACTATGAGTGTCCACGGGGAGGGAGGTCTAGAGCTGTATGTCCTGGCTTCTGGTCGTGTTACACCTGTTGCCTTGTAATTTAACTTATACTAATGTTCTAATTCCTCGTCGAATCTGGTCATAATGTTGTGGGTGGAGGTGGCTCCTATACCGTCTTCCAGTGTACGTTGACCACCCGCACAGGCTACCAGTATTTTCCTTACAGTGGTTCGATTCATTTGCGTACCCAGCTTACATTTGCGGCCTTTTGTCCTACATTCTCTCACATTAAAGAGACTGTCGTTGTCCACCTTGTCTATTCCACTCAGCATCTTGAATGTTGTGATCATATCCTCCTCTATTTCTTCTATCCTTGTCTTGATGGATTAATGCTCTTGCCTCTGGCACCAGTCGTGTTGCAAACCTCTGTACTTTTTAGTGTTAGTTTTATACTTCACAAGGTGTGGATCCCATGCCAGTGCTGCATATGCGAATATTGGTCTAACAAATGTTGTGTAGAATGATTGCCTTGAAGGTATCTTGAGTTTGATTTCTAAACGATGTTCTAATGTTTGCACGTTAAGCAACGTCGCATATGCTGCCGATATTATCATGTTTAGGTGTGAATCCGGTGACAATGTTGGAATTATATCTACTCCCAGATCCTTCTCTCCTTAAGATTCCTGTAGTTACCTCCCCTTATGGTGTAGATAATTGTTGGTCTTTTTTCACCATCTTCATCATCACCATCTTCATCATCACCGTCTTCATCATCACCATCTTCATCATCACCATCTTCATCATCACCATCTTCATCATCACCATCTTCATCATCACCATCTTCATCATCACCATCTCCATTATTTCCCCCCTTGTTGGAACTCAACTCCAGCACCCACATATCTGCCCGCTGCTGGAGTGTGTGAAGGCGCCACTGTCACCTCCCGCAGTCCTCCCGTTGTTACATGTCTCTTCAGCTTTGTGTCATCTGCAAACATTGACATACAGGTGATCACTCCCTCGGGAAGGTTGTTCACATCCATTTGGAACAGTAGCGGTCCCAAACCCAGCCTTGTGGAACTCCACTTGTTACATTCCTCCAGCTCGAAACCTCTTTGAGTGTGAGTGTTGGTGAGGAAGTGTGTGAGGGCAGACCCGCCATGACACCATCACCCCAAGGGGCTGGTTGCCAGCAGTAGTATGGCAACACCCACACCACATGTCCCTGGATCTGTTTACATGCAGTCACCGGTGGCACCCAGGCACAGGCCCTCACTCCCTCGCTCTCCTCTAACTCAGAGATGTGTCCTCGAACTCCCAGATGTGTCCTCTAACTCCGAGATGTGTCCTCTAACTCGGAGATGTGTCCTCTAACTCGGAGATGTGTCCTCTAACTGTGAGATGTGTCCTCTAACTCGGAGATGTGTCCTCTAACTGTGAGATGTGTCCTCTAACTCCGAGATGTGTCCTCTAACTGTGAGATGTGTCCTCTAACTCCGAGATGTGTCCTCTAACTGTGAGATGTGTCCTCTAACTCCGAGATGTGTCCTCTAACTGTGAGATGTGTCCTCTAACTGTGAGATGTGTCCTCTAACTATGAGATGTGTCCTCTAACTCGGAGATGTGTCCTCTAATTCGGAGATGTGTCCTCTAACTCGAAGATGTGTCCTCTAACTGTGAGATGTGTCCTCTAACTGTGAGATGTGTCCTCTAACTCGGAGATGTGTCCTCTAACTGTGAGATGTGTCCTCTAACTCTGTGATCTGTGCTCTAACTCTTGAGTGAGCGCACTCTCGCCGCTCTAGGATACACTCCAGCGAGCATGCATGACCCCATATGTATATAAAATTGTATTTATGACACACATGAGTGTAAAGCATTTAGTGTGCAGGGAAGCACGCCAGGTTGTGCGTGTGTGTCGTTACGAGTGCCAGTTAACGTGTCCCAGTTAAATACCAACTACTCTGGTTGACAAATTGAAACTAATTTTCTGAACAAATTCTATATACCTTAACACAGTATCTGCCTCCGCTTAAAAGAGATTTATATTATAAGCGATATCTTGGCCAATATAAGCAGTTGCTACTCACCCGTTTTCTGTTGATACTCTCCATCTTCTGTGTCGGTGAAGAACCACGTCTGCAAGAAATAACAAATAAATCGTTACATTAAGAACAAAAGAACAAGTGAGCTGTGTAAACGGGAGCCAGAAATTCTGTTATACAGATTCTCATTAACACAACAATGAGGATGTTTTAATTCAATAATACAGATGATTTAATTTAATAATTCAATGTTTTAATTAAAAAATGCAGATGTTCTAATTCAATTGCACAGATGTTTTACAGCATTTACTAAGTAAATGCTGTAAAAGACTCCATTCACACATTGATTCTAATATAAGAATATATATAAGTATAAGAGAAGAAAATAAATACTATTCAGAGAAGACCTTGTGGCTCCTCACTGAACACTCTAATGTGTGTTTGTTCTCCTATCATCCTCATTCTTTTGTATATATATATATATATATATATATATATATATATATATATATATATATATATATATATATATATATATATATATATATATATATATATATATATATATATATATATATATATATGTCGTACCTAATAGCCAGAACGCACTTCTCAGCCTACTATTCAAGGCCCGATTTGCCTAATAAGCCAAGTTTTCATGAATTAATGTTTTTTCGTCTACCTAACCTACCTAACCTAACCTAACCTAGCTTTTTTTGGCTACCTAACCGAACCTTACCTATAAATATAGGTTAGGTTAGGTTAGGTAGGGTTGGTTAGGTTCGGTCATATATCTACGTTAATTTTAACTCCAATAAAAAAAATTGACCTCATACATAGAGAAAAGGGTTGCTTTATCATTTCATAAGAAAAAATTATAGTAAATATATTAATTCAGGAAAACTTGGCTTATTAGGCAAATCGGGCCTTGAATAGTAGGCTGAGAAGTGAGTTCTGGCTACTAGGTACGACATATATATATATATATATATTATATAATTATATATAAGTATAATAGAGCTTAACTACTCAAGCTGGTCAAAGGTTCAGCTCCTGGGCTCAGGAGCTTGGTGCCCGGCTCCCTGGTGCCCGGCTCCCTGGTGCCTGGCTCCCTGGTGCCTGGCTCCCTGGTGCCCGGCTCCGTGGTGCCAGGCTCCCTGGTGCCCGGCTCCGTGGTGCCAGGCTCCCTGGTGCCAGGCTCCCTGGTGCCAGGCTCCCTGGTGCCCGGCTCCGTGGTGCCAGGCTCCCTGGTGCCAGGCTCCCTGGTGCCAGGCTCCCTGGTGCCCGGCTCCCTGGTGCCCGGCTCCGTGGTGCCCGGCTCCGTGGTGCCCGGCTCCCTGGTGCCAGGCTCCCTGGTGCCAGGCTCCCTGGCGCCCGGCTCCCTGGTGCCAGGCTCCCTGGTGCCAGGCTCCCTGGTGCCCGGCTCCCTGGTGCCCGGCTCCGTGGTGCCCGGCTCCCTGGCGCCCGGCTCCCTGGTGCCAGGCTCCCTGGTGCCAGGCTCCCTGGTGCCCGGCTCCCTGGTGCCCGGCTCCCTGGTGCCCGGCTCCCTGGTGCCCGGCTCCCTGGTGCCCGGCTCCCTGGTGCCCGGCTCCCTGGTGCCCGGCTCCCTGGTGCCCGGCTCCCTGGTGCCAGGCTCCCTGGTGCCTGGCTCCCTGGTGCCAGGCTCCCTGGTGCCCGGCTCCCTGGTGCCAGGCTCCCTGGTGCCAGACTCCCTGGTGCCCGGCTCCGTGGTGCCATGCACGTGGTCTCCGGGCACGGTGGAGGTGTGCGTCGTGAGCACCTACCTGGCAGCTCTTTCCTGTTTGTGTATAGTTTAATACGACCGTGGAACTGTAAACAGCTGGGCACCGTATCCCTGGCCAGGTGATGGGGTGCGCACTGAATTTCCCACTTCTAAACTTTCCTTCACCTGTGCCTCTCTATCCTCTTTATTCCCAGAAAAAAAATAGTATGGTCACCGTTTTACTGTTTGCCCACCCACCAGGGGTGGTGGTGCACCAGGGGTGGTGGTGCACCAGGGGTGGTGGTGCACCAGGGGTGGTGGTGCACCAGGGGTGGTGGTGCACCAGGGGTGGTGGTGGTGCACCAGGGGTGGTGGAGCACCAGGGGTGGTGGTGGAGCACCAGGGGTAGTGGTGGTGCACCAGGGGTGGTGGTGCACCAGGGGTGGTGGTGCACCAGGGGTGGTGGTGCACCAGGGGTAGTGGTGGTGCACCAGGGGTGGTGGTGCACCAGGGGTAGTGGTGGTGCACCAGGGGTGGTGGAGCACCAGGGGTAGTGGTGGTGCACCAGGGGTGGTGGAGCACCAGGGGTGGTGGTGGAGCACCAGGGGTGGTGGTGGAGCACCAGGGGTGGTGGAGGAGCACCAGGAGTGGCGGTGGAGCACCAGGGGTAGTGGTGGTGCACCAGCGGTGGTGGAGCACCAGGGGTGGTGGAGCACCAGGGGTGGTGGTGGAGCACCAGGGGTGGTGGAGCACCAGGGGTGGTGGTGGTGCACCAGGGGTGGTGGTGGAGCACCAAGGGTGGTGGAGGTGCACCAGGGGTGGTGGTGGAGCACCAGGGGTGGTGGTGGTGCACCAGGGGTGGTGGTGGAGCACCAGGGGTGGTGGAGCACCAGGGGTGGTGGTGGAGCACCAGGGGTGGTGGAGCACCAGGGGTGGTGGTGGGAGCACCAGGGGTGGTGGTGGAGCACCAGGGTGGTGGTGGAGCACCAGGGGTGGTGGTGGAGCACCAGGGGTGGTGGTGGGAGCACCAGGGGTGGTGGAGCACCAGGGGTGGTGGTGGAGCACCAGGGGTGGTGGAGCACCAGGGGTGGTGGTGGAGCACCAGGGGTGGCGGTGGAGCACCAGGGGTGGTGGAGCACCAGGGGTGGTGGTGGAGCACCAGGGGTGGTGGAGCACCAGGGGTGGTGGTGGAGCACCAGGGGTGGTGGAGCACCAGGGGTGGTGTTGGAGCACCAGGGGTGGCGGTGGTGCACCAGGGGTGGTGGAGCACCAGGGGTGGTGGTGGAGCACCAGGGGTGGTGGTGGAGCACCAGGGTTGGTGGAGCACCAGGGGTGGTGGTGGAGCACCAGGGGTGGTGGAGCACCAGGGGTGGTGGTGGAGCACCAGGGGTGGCGGTGGTGCACCAGGGGTGGTGGAGCACCAGGGGTGGTGGTGGAGCACCAGGGGTGGTGGTGGAGCACCAGGGGTGGTGGTGGAGCACCAGGGGTGGTGGTGGAGCACCAGGGGTGGTGGAGCACCAGGGTGGTGGTGGAGCACCAGGGGTGGTGGTGGAGCACCAGGGGTGGCGGTGGTGCACCAGGGGTGGTGGTGGAGCACCAGGGGTGGTGGAGGTGCACCAGGGGTGGTGGTGGAGCACCAGGGGTGGTGGTGGTGCACCAGGGGTGGTGGTGGTGCACCAGGGGTGGTGGTGGAGCACCAGGGGTGGTGGAGCACCAGAGGTGGTGGAGCACCAGGGGTGGTGGTGGAGCACCAAGGGTGGTGGAGCACCAGGGGTGGTGGTGGAGCACCAGGGGTGGCGGTGGTGCACCAGGGGTGGTGGTGGAGCACCAGGGGTGGTGGAGGTGCACCAGGGGTGGTGGTGGTGCACCAGGGGTGGTGGTGGTGCACCAGGGGTGGTGGTGGAGCACCAGGGGTGGTGGAGCACCAGGGGTGGTGGTGGAGCACCAGGGGTGGTGGAGCACCAGGGGTGGTGGTGGAGCACCAGGGGTGGTGGTGGAGCACCAGGGGTGGTGGTGGAGCACCAGGGGTGGTGGTGGAGCACCAGGGGTGGTGGAGCACCAGGGGTGGTGGAGGAGCACCAGGGGTGGTAGTGGAGCACCAGGGGTGGTGGTGCACCAGGGGTGGTAGTGGAGCACCAGGGGTGGCGGTGGAGCACCAGGGGTGGTAGTGGAGCACCAGGGGTGGTGGAGGAGCACCAGGGGTGGTGGAGGAGCACCAGGGGTGGTGGTGGAGCACCAGGGGTGGTGGTGCACCAGGGGTGGTAGTGGAGCACCAGGGGTGGCGGTGGAGCACCAGGGGTGGTAGTGGAGCACCAGGGGTGGTGGAGGAGCACCAGGGGTGGCGGTGGAGCACCAGGGGTGGCGGTGGAGCACCAGGGGTGGTGGCGTACTTGGCATGCTGGGTTGATACAGGCCGCCATCAGGTCAACTTTGGGTTCGGAATCCAAGACAATTACATGTTTTGACTGGTGATATCCCCCAGGACCCTGCACCCCTGCACGCTGCCCCTGGGACCTGGGGTGGTGAGTGGGGACCCTGGGGTGGGTGGCAGGTCCCCTGGGGCGCTGCTTCTCCCGCCCAACCAAACTTTACGACCCCCCCCCCTCATCCTGGCTACCTGAAGATTTTTTATGGCTATAGTTTTTCTTCCTCCCCGCTCCCCTCCTTGAGGTATGTTGACCTCTCACTTACGAGCGGATGACTGACGCCGTCAGGTATCTGTGCTTGCCCCTGTCCGAGCTGTGGGCTGAGCAGTGCTTGCCCCTGTCCGAGCTGTGGGCTGAGCATTTGTACTTTTTAAATGACACGGTGAGGACTGTGAGGGCGCGGCCTCCCACCACCTTCATGACGGTGGAAGAAATTAGCGGCTGTGTTTTGTGAGTGGCGGGTCCGAGCCTCTGTTTATGGTGCTCTCGTGTAGCTTTATGTGTCATATAACTGGGCCGGGGCCCCACGGGCCTGCTGGGCCGGGCCCCCACGGGCCTGCTGGGCCGGGGCCCCACGGGCCTGCTGGGCCGGGGCCCCACGGGCCTGCTGGGCCGGGGCCCCACGGGCCTGCTGGGCCGGGCCCCCACGGGCCTGCTGGGCCTTCATGTGTCCTGTACACTGCAGTGTTCTCGAGGCCTTCTTCCATACTTGTCTAATTTAAATTTTATACATTTTTGTTTTGTACATATACCTTCCCGGACTGAGGGTAGAGGTTGTGTCGACTCTCGAGGGGATGCGTGTGAGTGTGCGTGAGCGTGTGGATGTGGGCGCGGGGAGGCGCCTCCACTACCAAGACTACAATTAGTATACCTGTTCTGATGGCTGTGAGAGCGGTGAACCAGAGAAGAGCAGGGGTGCCATAGGCACAATCAGAGAACACTGTA